GAATTGAAGTGCAAGCAAAAAAAAAGAAAAGAAGATGAAGGGGAGGAAGACTTAGGAAAGCTTTTTTGGAGACCCCACTGCTTAAAAAGAACCACAAACACCACCTTTAACAACAAATTAAAATTAAGGGAAAAAAAATAAATAGCCATGACAGAGCAAAGGAAGGCTAAAGAAATGAATAAATACATAAACAAGGCCACTGTTAGCATATAATAGGTCACCACTAGTTGAAGCTTCCCAGCATCCGGAAGATACAGGGAGCTTGCAAACAGCACTCAAGAGCTAGTAGCAAAAGTAAAGCTTTACCCACAGTTATTACCTGCTTTTCCTGTATACAGTATAAAATCCCAAACACATTAACTCAGCTTGACCTTTATGATGTTTGTAAATACGCAAATTAAAATCATAAAGAAAGGTAAGAGAAGTGAGAGGGGAGCGGACAAGTGCCATTTTTGTATGCAATACAAGCAGCTCCCATTCTCACCAACACCAATTTATCATTCCCAGGAAGGAGAAATCCCAACACCAGCCACCTCCTGATCAGCACTGGGTGGGATAAATTGCCAAGGACCCTGACATATATCTGTTTCAAAAGGGACACATGCAGTTATGCCACCACAGTGAAACTCTCTGGCCTTTGGGTCAGGCCACAAAGATAACGCAACAGCATCCACCAGAAGAGGAATGTGCAGAACCACTGTGAAGTCACTATTAAGTCTCTGTCCTTAGGAAACATTTTTAAAAGGAAGAGATGAAACAAGAAGACTTACAAAGAACTACATTTATTTTTGTTTACAGCAGATATCATAAATAAAGCTAAAACAATTTTCACTGTGTGCAAAATACAGAATTTCCATGTGAAAATTTAAATACAGCATTAAAAACTATTTAATAAAAATATTCAGTTAAGATTATAAAGTAAAATGAAGACAGAAGATTGAGGAGGAGAAGGACAGAATCCTCACTGGCCAGGAAGAGCTAGGAAGACTCTGCAACAGAGGGTAAAAAACACAGCAGTGGAGTGGTTTGAAATGGCAGGCCTTTATGTCATGACCTTCATCTGAAAGCATGCTGAGCTCTGTAACAAAACACCATAGCCCTGACATACATAGGAAGTCACGTCCTAACCATTTGTGCAGGAAGTGACGCTTAAAATACAGAGAAGGTTTCTGTGTGGGCACAGAGCGGGGACTTTCAAAGCCATCAAGACATTCTGGCATACCCACACAAATAAATACTATTGCTTAAGCTACACAAATGTACAGGTCAGCAAGATAAGGAGTGTAGAGCTCTGACCCTGCAGCACTTCAGCATTCCTGGCTGAGGTGTGTGAAATGAGGCAAGTGGCAGAGGACGTGTGGCCTCTCCTGAAAACTGCCACTTAGATCAATTCCCGAAGACCCTTCCCTTTAGAAGAGGATCTCAGGAGGGAAGGCTGGGTCATGACCATGTCAAACAAAGCTTTAGTGCACATGCTTGTCAGACTGAGCCCTTGGTTCTTGTTTGGATTCATTTCCCCTTCTAGATTATCAACGTGTGATTGATTACACATACTGGAACTTATGTAAAAAATACAAAATAATAGCACAACTTTGTCATGGAGAGCATGGCAAGGTCTCATGCAGCAAGACAAATCCATTCATCACAGTGGCAAATAGGGCCTAGTTAATTAGTTAACAAAACAATTCAAACCAAAACACTCTGGTTATATAAACTTGGCATTCTGATATTACAGACTAAAAATAGCATGCTTATATATTACTGTTAGGCCAGCCTACCATGTTTCTTGGGGTGAAAGACTAGAGTTTGCACCTACTTGGCTAATTTTTTAACAGAATCCTTTTATATTGTACTCTTCCAGTATGAAAGCAAGAAAGTGCTTAGGAAGCACCACAGTGCTCAAACATTGCTTGTTCACTGCTTATTGGAGCTCAATGGAAATAGGTGGTCACGCTAACCAGGAGAATCAGCTGGCTAATCTTGTCCTGACCTTATTTCAAATCTTTCCTTCAATACTTTGAAAGAAATTTAATTAGTTTTTGAAAGAAACTTTAATTAGTTCTTTCGAGAAGCAACTTACTTACCTAACTTACCTTGAAGGCACAAGGAAGTGTACATGCACAGACACAGACAGAAAAATTCTCTACAGAGAGCACAGACTTTGCTTTTTCTAGAACTGTGAACTCAGCATCAGGTTAAATGATCATGCCAAAGCTTGCATCCATTAATATACCAGACACACACAGTTTGCTCCAAAAGTCTTGAAAAAAACGCACATTGAAATGCTGTCAAACAACAGTGTTAGTCACACAATTTTGGAACTGGCAAGCAGAAAAAAAAATCACCTGAGAGCAGAAAGGCTTCAGCCAGTGAGTGGGTGCAGCACTGGAATGATGAAATGGACTAAAAGCAATGAGGGAGATTGACAAAGAAGACAGCCAGGAAAAAAAACAAAACACAGACCTTAACTTGGTTATACAGAAAAGCATCAGAAAGATTATGTAGGCACAGAGAAGAATAGGCCAAAATGAAACTGCCTTTCTTCATTAAATCATGAATGAGGACAAGTAAGTATGAATCTTACTAACAGAATATTAAGATTAAAAAAAACATAAATAAAAAAATCTACCAATTAGATTGATATCAATAAAAAAACCTTGCCAACAGATCCCAGTGGGATATGCAGTGTAATTAAGATTCCTCAGGAAAATGTTTTCATTCTGCAGATTCCTGATTTCTGTTGTGGGAATGTAGGGATTTTATTCCTCATTATATAAATCTATACGAGTCAATGCCAGCTTTTTATTTTTTTAAGTTGAATTTTAAACTTTCTCCTAGTAAGATTCATCTACTTTACATTAATTGGACATCAGAGATTTATAGATTTCTTACTATGTCACCATTTTCCATACCAATGGTATGTTTACCATTACGCTCACTCTGCTGAAAAGCAGAAAATTCCCTGTAGTAAACAGTAGAAGATTTCAGGAAACAGTGTTCCTAAGGACTGTGCTGTTGACAAACTGACAGAGAACTGATTGCAAGCCAAGTTTTAAAACTTTACTACTTAGCAGTTTGCTGTGTTGCAGGAGTAACATGCTCAATCACAGCACAGATTTTTTCCTTTTTAAAGTGAAACTATAATTAGCAAATAATTAAAAAGTATACAATGTTCCAAAGTAGGTTTGGGGGTTTTTTACATGCTATAAAAAAAAAGATACAGATACGTTTTGTTACATATATACAGATGCCCACCATGTTACTATAATTGTTGCTGTGTCCAGTCAATATTCTAGCAAAGTTTTGCTAATACATGTTTGAGCATTAATGGCAATTTATTTCAAATGAATGCTGCCTTACACCTAAACAATTTTCTTCAATCACTTTTTCAAGTTCTGCGCATATACTAACAATTTTTTTCCCCCAAAATACATAATCATTTTAAACTGTGAAAAGCTTTATCCTCATAGTTTAAAGGAAGTCAGACTATCTAGAAGAAAAATCCAGTTTGCCATTTCCTTTAAACAGGAGATAATTTCCTCTTTAAACCTAAGAAAAAACTGCCAGTCCATAAGCAGCACAGCCATTTAAGACCACTGGAAGACCACTGGATGCTCAACTTTGGTTCTAACTGAATGCAATATTATTTCCTATTATTTAAGCCATATTCTGTTGGCTAGAAATAAATGCTACAGAAGCTTTTAATTTTAGGCTATATATAATACCATGTTTATGTATTTACCTATTTCCTGGTTAACTTCTGAATTTAAACACTCAAGTATTTGAGAGGCAGGGAGCATGCTTACCTTGCTGGCTAACTAGGCTGAAAGTAATCAGGATTTGGGATGTTGGTGTCTCCTTGCCACTAAATAGCTTACTTAACCTGCCCCAACACCTTCTGATTAAGGTAGACCTTGTTGAGAGACATCTGAAAGAAAGTTACTTAACAGCTGCTCCAGACAGAATTTCACCTTTCTGCCATTACACATTGAAATGAATGAAATACCCAACTAAGAATTAATCTCCTTGGAATACATTTTTAGGTTTTTCTTGTTTGCTCTAAACTTGTATTAAAAAAAAAAATAAAAATCCAAAAGACAATAGGAGCATTGCCTACCCAGAGGAAACACAGCAGTGATTTCACTTACAGATGAGTGCTCCATAAACTGATATTCCTTGAATCAGCCACCTAATGAGGAAGCCTCGATTTGAGAAATAAGTCAGATCTAATTACACTATCAGTTCCTTTGACCTAGTTGCAATCAAGCCTTCACTCAACTAAGATTTGCTCTTCAAATTTATTTCAAAACTTTAAATAAATTAGTAGTACAGATTACACCCACTATCATCAAAAGGGTATCTATCACATATAAGAAATGAAAAAAGGCATGACTAGGAGCAATGGCAATTAAGTACATGATTAATTCTTCTTTTTTTCTTTTTAACATATTCATGCAAATTATAAACCTCATAACGCAGAGCAAAGATGAAAGCAAGAAGAAAAAAGGTATGCGCCATCTTCAGGTTTCAAAACCCAGTCATTTATCACAAATATTCCCCAAACATCTGAAAGAATACACATTCTTTCTTGGTCTAATGAAAAAAAGAAAAAGGAGGAGGGCAGGGGAGGGAGCATGGTTTTTAAATATACAATATGCCCCATGGTCTGATCACAGGATAAAACAAGTAAAAAAGATAAATCTACAAACATCCTTCATCCGTTGCCATGTTTTGGAAATGTGTCTGGACATTGCCCTTCATGCTCTAACATACAGTACATTTCATATTGAAATTTTTGATTGCACACCTCATATATATCAGAAGGAATCCACCATTCAAGTCACACATTAAATTATATGAAAAGTAAAAAAGCAAACAAACAAAAAAACCAACAAAACCCCCAAAGAAGCAAACAAAAAACCCTCAAGAAAATAGTGAGGCTGTTAATTTTGAAAATCTGAAAGGCAAAATTGAGCAAGACACAGAAGAACTTAAACCCTACAGAATTTTTTTCACCCATTCAAGCACATTTTCAAGTGATAGCTCTGCTTCCCGGTACATATGAGTAAGTACCTCTAGAAGAGCACAGAGGAATGGCACACCAAGGCTCAAGAGTTCATACAAGTAGGTATAGTTATATGCATTGTCCCTGAAATGAAGATTGGTAGCGTGCAGAAAACCATGCATCCAGTTAGACAGGCGTCTGGGAATGTCAAGCAGATCCCTTGTCACCCGAAGGGGCCAGCTTAGTGCGCCCCTAAAGAAGGAAGTCAGGATACCTGGGGACCTGTCCTCTGGACTGCTAGCAGTAGACAAAGTGCTTTCTGTGGTGGTCTCTGTGGGTTTGGGTTCCTCTTTCTTCCATGCTTCTGCTGTCTCCTTATATAAAGCGTTAAAAAAAAATGTTATATATACACTTCTAAAATATGGCACGTTCAATTTCTCTTACTGTTTTCAGGTCTTTATATATATATATTCACTTCCAATTTCTCCTAAGTTCACATTTATTTTGTATAGAGAAAACTCAATTCCATTCAGAACCAGACTATAAATATGTCAAACAGAACCAGGAGGTTATGTTTTAGTATTGATTTAATTGCTTCTGGATATTAGCTAGGAAACATCTCTCACATACACATACAATTGCAAGTATTGCACCCTGCTTGAAGTCAAGCTGCCTCAACATTCCCTGCATTACTAATATAAACAATACATACCTTTCCTTGGATCTGTAAGGTTGCTCTTCTCTTTCTCTGCTTAGTACTGATTTTGCAGTGTGTAAAATGAGGTTTGCAGTAAAATTTACCTACAAGAGAAAAAAAAAAAAAAAAGATATTTTATCTATATATGTATGGACTGAAACCCCACTGCTGCATCCATAAAAAGCTAAAATCAGGATAATCAATGGTTGGGCAGCAAAAGGAATGGGAAACTTGCCACCAGCTGAATAGCTTACAGCTCTGAATGGGTTTCTTTTACAGTACACAGATTTGCATGTTTTTTAAATAAGGCAAGGTCATTTATCTACCACACAGGTTTAAGATTAATTAATAGCAGAAACCCAAAATTCAATAAATACAATGTCACAAACCAAAACAAGACATCAAGCAGCAAAAACTCAAATAATCAGTTAAAAAAAAAAGTCTTTGCAAAGCATTCTCTGGACTTCAAAAGAGTCACTTTTAGCCTTGAGTCTTTAATTTTTTCTTTGCAGAAAGAGATCAGGTTAATATTCCAATCTACTCAAACCATTTGGAAGCAGCAAGGGAATTTCAATTCAGTTTAATAATTTCCCTCTAAACAAAAAACAAACAAACAAACAAAAATGGGGGTGTAGGTGGGATTGAGTGCCCAAGATCTGAATCTCCTGTTCTACAGTAGACTGGAATAAATTACACCACTGCTCGGCCAGTACTACTGCTTTCAATTCCTGAGCCATAACATCTTGAAAGAGATAACCTATATTCCCTTGATCCATGTAAATCTGCCACTATTGTGTCTTACCCTTGTAGATCATGTTATTTAATGGCCAGTTATAAATGAGAGATGAGAATAATTCTGTACTGTTGGAGAGAAAAAAAAAAAAAAAAAATCACCTTTCCCCTCCACCTCCCTCTGTCCTGCGCTTGGACAAATTGCATTTTGATCACTCAAGTTATTTTCCACTGAGGAATTCTTATTTAAAGCTCAGGTCTGTCATAACTGGATTATTTTGAAAGACTAGAACTGCAAGTACAAGGACTTGAAGATCAGTATGGACACAACATACTTGGCAGACCTCCTCTTTACTGAATTACTTGGCCAGGTCTTTTTCCCTGGTTCCTTTAAAAACATCAATACTTAAACAATCAATATTTTAAATATTCTTAAATAGTTCCTCTATTACCTTCCTCAACATCAAAGGCGTAAATTCCTAAGCGGAGTGTTGTAGAACATACTTCACACTTGAAGCACTCCCTATGAAAGAAGTGGCCTTCTGCACTCAGCCGCTCCATAACGTATACCCGTTTTTTGCAGAAGTAACAAATGTCACTCCCCCCGACAGACTGAGGGAATTCTTTTCGCAGAGATGCCTGTTAAATGACAAAAATAGAAAGGCACATAAAGCTGTTGCACTACACCCAGACACAAATTCTTAACTGGGAAGCTTCTTTATCTGCTTGAATTTTTACACAGCACCCTCCACACACAATTAAAATGTCAGCTTTTTTATTACTCATTTGCTACAATCCTGTAGGTTTATGCTGCAATTCATAAATCAGACATCACAAGGACTTTAAGGGGTGATTTTCAGCTGGACTCGTATCCAGCTTCCCTCTGGGAGTTCACTGACATTTTGTGTTTACTCAGGTACAAGAGCAGCATCAGTCCCAGATGCTCTTTTCATCACCCTGCACTGTGCTGGCTCAGGCACTTGCATCTCACAGTCTGAGGGCATCGGTGCTTCTCAGAAGAGGGCAAAGGCAGACCTTGCCAGCCTCAAATAACAGGCATGCAGAGCTAGGAAAACAGACATCCTGAAACTTTCAATATACACTCGCTCATACACACTCTGGAGGAAAATGTAGGCTTGCATTTTAATGTCCAGGAAGAAAACCTGACAGTCTTTAATGCTGGTGTCTGAACTGTTTTCATTGCTGCAGACATGCTTCCCCTCTCAGACATGTTCCTCCCAAGACTACAGCCCAAGCTGGGGCTTGATTTGTTTTAAAAAAAAAAAAAAATCACTTTCTCTCCTTCCACAGACATGCAGAATATTTTTAACTCATTGGACTTTAAAATATGATCCATATTTACAACTGGAATCTATTGTGAAAGTTTTTGTTGAATTTGGGCTGTCAATCATCATTCTTTAATTGCCATACATCTTACCCTCTCTGGATATACACGCAAAAGGTACAGAAAAAATAAAAAGGTACAGAAAAATAAATTAGAAATTAATTAGATGCCACTGGACTTCCCTTTTCTTATTAGAGGTAGATATGAAGATGTTACTTTGTATTAGTTATAAGTCAGTACAGACGAGCAACCTGTCTCTACCACAGCCATCACCATCTCCCTTCCTTTCCACCATCCCCACTGCCACGGGAGAAGTTCTATGCATGGGACAGAGGAGGCATAGGCTTGGCAGAGTCCAGGCACATTCAGACAACAGCACATAGTCCACGCAACTCATCTTTAGTTTGCTGCCAAAAAGTAGCCTTGTAACAGCTTCATAATGTTAAGTTCAAGTCACAATTTTAATCGTCACATTGTCTTGTGCTTAAAAGTTAAGGACCAAATCTGCCATCAATAATCCGTTTTGCTGTGATGGATCATTTCAGAGCATGAAATTTCCCAAATGAATAACCATGCAAATGGTTACCCATGTATATACATGTTTTCGAAAAAAGAACAGATAGTTACAGTGAAGTACAAGCAACTGAGTTTGTGCTGGCTAATAGATAAGTGTCATCACCACAACACAACATCTTACTTCACTTCCCAATACCTGACAGCTCTGAGCAGTAGAGGCAGAAGATGGAGAATGAGGAATGGGGCAAGAACCTGTAGCTCTGTCCAGAGACTGCTTCTGAATTCAACACAGAACAGTGTCAGAGTTTAAAAACAGCTCTCCAAAATGAGGCACAGTGATTCAGCATTTGTGTGTTAAAAATAACTGCATAAACATATACTATAACAAAACTTTCTTTAGAAGCTACCCTGATTAATAATTGCCTTCTCTTACTAACTGTACCAGTAATTACGTTTAATAAAACCCTCCTGAAGTTTTAATTCATGCAAATAATAAAAATCTAAATAGAAGACACCGTGAACAACATTTCCAGCACATCCACACATCAGCATGTTTTGCCAGTACGTACTTGATTCCTTAATAAATGTTAGACTAAGACCTTTCATAATGCTTGAAGTGCTCCACAGCCAAAATCTTAAATTAGGATGTTAGTTCCGGAAACACCACTCTTTAAAATCGAGTTATTGCTTCTTTTTGGGTTTGGTCTTACCAGTTCAAGGGGGTTAAGCTGTGGCTTGGGTCTGTGATCATTCACATACAGATTGACAAGAACTTCAGCCACAGCTCCAATTGCACATGATACCTTTCCTACAGTCATCTAACCAGAAAAGAGAAGATGAAGAATAGAAGGAAGAGCTTTAGTTTTTCTTGAAAAAGGATTTTACGAGAAAAGGACAGGAATGATTTGAAAACATGCAAACAACGATAAAGAGAGGCTACGAGAAAGAGCAGAGCCAAAGTCTAGCAGAACACAAGCATGTTCATTTGTTAGCAGCATGGTCCAGCTGGTGGCCACAGAAAGCTTCTGTGCAGCTCCCACACTTCTCTGTGAAATGATGCAGAAACAACTGCTGGGAGCAAACACTCCCACAGCACAGTCCTCCTGCCATGCCTATGAAAGGCTGAGCTGGGAGCTACTGCCTATCAGGGTTGGGCTGTTCTGATAGATTGAGAAAAACAAACCCTGTTCACTTTGACTTCTTGGAACTTTATTGTTGTATTTAACAGGAGTGGGGACTAAACTTTACATTACCAGACTACAGAGTGTGGCATTTCAGGAAACAGCCTATGAAAATGTAGCAGAAATCCCACGTACAAACATTTTGTTGATTCTCACAAAGCAATCATTCTCCCTCTTCCCCATTGACTCAATGCCAGGGAAAACTGGATAAACCATGCTCATGAAAGGAAGCCATCTCCTTTAATCTGCTTCATCACACTATAGCAGCCACAAATGTTAGGCTCTTTCTAACCAAATTTATCAAATAGACAGGCCTGCAAGGAAACTGCACTTCTTTAGGCTGTGGCTCCAAATGCACCACCACCAGATCACTGACTGCATGGTCCAGGCTTCCTTGCCAAAACACATGCCTGGGCAGTGGAACAGTAGAAAGGGGGGGTGTGTGTGGCAGGCAGGCAGGTAGGTATTCTAGTTCCCTGCTCCTGGAAAAAAAGACTGCGAAGACTTCATAGAGCTATAGAAATATTTTCTACCCTAAGCCAAATTTGCTGTAGTGACTTTCATTTTAGTTTTATAGTCAACATAAGATCCCACGACCTCTCTGGTAGCAAAGACAGCAAGAACAATCCTGGTAAGGCCAGGGACCTGGTATTCTGCTTCTGAAGTCAGAACATTCTTTTTATTTCCTAGAGGATCCACTGTCTCATATATCGTGCTTCATTTGCCTCCCAAAGAGTCCAAATATTAAAGTCTCACACTTGTCAGCGATATAATTTTTTACTGCCACTATACCAAGTCTTGCTAATGGAAAGGTTTTAAAATATCAGAAAGCTACCAAGAAGAAAAGAGAAAAATATAAAGGCAATGGTATTTATGCTACTTTAAAATAATTTTGAAACATTTTCTATCAAGTTTAAAACAACTATGATGCATTGTGGGTGCATTTTCAAAAATTATGACAGATAAAAATATTCTTGCTAATAAAAAAAAAATATAATCCAGAGGAGTATGTCCAGCTCCTTACAGCTTCCCTTATCTTTTGAGAGTTATCCTGTAATTAGCTTAATATCCAGGTAGGTACAAAATATGCATGTTAAGACAACAAAGGCCATTCAAGGAATAAATTTATGTCCTGTTTGGTTTTGCTTATTATAAAAAGACTTTAAAATGTTGTTCAATATCTGCAGAACTTGCAGGGTAACAACAGCAAAGTAAACTGTTAATTACACACCACAGTGCTGTCCCAAGTGGTACACTAGATTATTAGCCAACAGAAGTGCTACTTGCTACTACAGGAAAACTATGCTCCTTTGTATTGTTTAAAATCACAGAAGACAAAATTTTCCTCCCCAAATTCTGCCCCTCAGAATACGCTGAGTGACTTTTAGGCCACATACAACTTATTACCTATGAGCTCCTAGGTAAAAGAAAGCTTCTGAAGTTAACTGAAGCAAGAAGTTTACCTTGAACTAGTTAAATGCTGGAGCAATCACTTGAACAATAAGGCTGTGCCTAGAATGCAAGTAGGTGAATTTCAGGAAAAGCATCCTTAAGCATGAACTACACCTTGAAATTCATCAGGTTGGTCGATTTCTGTTCTCCACCCATTGGAGCAATCTACCTCAACATTAAAGCAGTCAAAACAAGAAAATTGCACATCTGTACATACTTAAAAAATGTTATTAAAAGGAAATGTTATTGTAATGAAAGGGAACTCCCATTCTGTGTAAAAGCAAGTGGGATTTCAATTTAATCTAGTAACCGAAAGATTGCTGACTACTCTTGTCTCCTACAACCACCATCAACACACGCATTGTTGCTGCTCACCAGTGGGAAGGGCAGGAGGCAAGTGGACTTGAGGACTGATTAGATCTCACTTTATACAAATGGTTTAATAAGGCCACATTACTGGGGAAAGATCTCTATTGGTTCTCCTTACTGAATCAGGAATGTGGGTAGACAAGAGGAGATCGATTTGCTACAACCTTGGCACCACACCTTCCAGGTGATGTGCAGAGGGGCCTAGATAGATTGGAGCATTGGGCAATGATTAAGGGGATAAAATTTACCAGGTCCAAATGCTGAGTTCTGCACTCAGAATAGAGTAATGCCAGGTGCAAGTATAAACCGGGAGAGGGGTGGCTGGAGAGCAGCCCTGCAGAATGGGATCAGGGATTGCTGGTTGGCAGCAGGCTCAGTATGAGCCAGCAGTGTGCCCTGGCAGCCAAGAGGGTAAACCCCATAATGGAGGGCATCAAACACAGCACCAGCAACCAGTTCAAAAGAGGGGACTATCCCACTGTATTCAGCATTGGTGCAGCCTCACATTGAGTACTGTGTGCAGCTCTGGGCCCCACAGCTGGAAAAGGATGTGAAGTTCCTTAAATGTGTCTGGAGGAGGGCAACGAAGCTGGCGGGAGCACTGGAAGGCAAGTCTTGTGAGGGGCAGCTAAGGACTGTGGGCTTGTCTAGTTTGGAGAGAAGGAAGCTAAGGGGTGACCTCATTGCTTTCTACAGCTTCCTGAGGAGGGAAACTGGAGAGGAGGTGCTGATCTCTTCTTCCTGTACCTAGTGATAGGATCACACAGTATCACACAGTATCACAGTATGCTAGAGATTGGAAGGGACCTCAAAAGATCATCTAGTCCAATCCCCCTGCCAGAGCAGGAACACCTAGATGCTTGGGAATGGTTCAAAGCTGCATCAGGAGAGGTTCAGACTGGACATTAGGAAGCACTTCTTCACCAAAACAGTGGTCAAACACTGGAACAGGCTTCCCAGAGAGCTGGTTGATGCCCCACGCCTGCCAGTGATTAAGAGGCATTTGGACAATGTCCTTAGTTTCATGCTTTAGCTTTTGGTCAGCCCTGAATTGGTCAGGCAGTTGGACTAGATGATCATGGTACATCCCTTACAACCAAAATATTCTATTGTGTTCTATTCAAAAGAAATTAAATTACAAAATAGAAACATCGAGGAAAGATAAGAAGCCACCAGACCACCTCATGAGCACTTGCAGAAACCTGCAGAGAAGGGGAGGGATGGGTTCTAGCCCACAAGGCTAGGGACTTCTGCCCTAATATGACAACAGTACAACCACTGAGTAACCTTGTCTTCTCTAAAACTCACCTGGTTATGGACAAGGACTTCAGTAACATCCTCACCACGTAATCATGTAAGTGTAATAAATTCCAGTTGCAGGAGAGATGGTCTGACCCCAAAATCTACAGACATTCCTGCAGAGAACCTGTCAGCTCTTACATGGGTTAGCTTTGGTTGATAGCACACAGATCTCTGCCAGCCTGATGCTACTCATGTACCCTAGAAATTCACTATACACATAATAGGTTTTATATTTTGCTTATGCACTTACTACCCTTGAGGCTACTGGTGTACTTGAAGTGCCACACAACCCTGCAATTCTGTAGTGCCGCGGCCACTATCAATAAATAGCAGGTTACTGCTCACAATTCAAGCAGGTTTATACCTTTAGCTTTAAACCCTGTGTTGGAAAGGAATCTTAGAGTTACCTTACACAGTAAATTTCAGAAAAAATCTGCAAAGAAAACACTTAAAAATCCACCACGTGTGTGTGATTTGTGAAGACTGTTGACCTGTCAATGACATGTTACCAAAGCTTTTCAGCAGGTTGATCAGAGTGGTTATTAGTGGGAAGCGAAAGCTGCCTTCTGTGTTTCCCCATGTTATTGTTTGTAACACCACAGCCAACCAACAACTATGCCTGGTAGTATTTTCATAAAACAAAGGAAATGTACTCTCTGCCTCCAAAGCATACAATGCTTCCCCTTTGTTGTTTCATATCCTTAATGATTTTCCTGGTCTTATTTAGCTTTGAAAGGTATTTATTTACTTTGGTACCACCTGCTACATATGTTTTACCTCTGAGATAAACAACATGTGAGCAATAAGTTACTGTGTGTAGAAAACACCCAAGCCCTGCTGGTAATTAGTCGCCTCACTGAAGGGAAGCAGTTGGTCCAAACACTGCAGGCAGCAAAGCCTACTGATTGCAACATCATAGTTCTTATGACATACGGTGTGGAGTCACGCATGCAAAGCTCAGATGAACACAGTTTTCTGAAGATCAAATCCAACTTTAAACAGACAACAGGAATAACCAAAGCCCAGCCTGTAATATAATATTTGTTCCTTCATAATTCTACCTATGTGAATTTTGACAGCTGCTCAAAGCTAGAAGGTAGCTTTGATTATTACTGGCAACTTGCATATACTTTCATGTAGTAGGAAGTTCTTAATAAATTGTAATGACTGTATGCCTTTAGAAGAAACAATATGCTTCCATAGCCTTCCTTTCAAGGGCTCCTTTCAGGACTGAGGCTTAACAGGTTTCTGTAATAAGACAGTATGATTTCTTAGCCACCATTTTCAATAAATATGGTACCATAACTAATACCACTCTAGTGAAAATTCAACAGTTGCAAAGGATCATTGTGTCTCATAACAATCTCAGTATTCACTTGAAATTAAAGTGACGGTTCTAACTACTTAAAGAATGGGAGGGTACTGATATTTATAGGCCACCTCTCATGAAATCTTACAAAACTCAGAAGACTTCCATTATCTTCTGCTGGGAAAATGCAGAAACACTGAGAGCGACATGAAGAAGCTTGTTCTGCTGGCTTACCAATCCTGAAGCCCTTTTTCTCACTGAAGTCTAGACTTACCTCGTGGTATCTCTCAGAACAGGGACCAGAAATAGAAATTCTAAGTCCTATAACCCCAACCGCAAGATAACACAAACACAGGCAATTAATTACCAGTGCATACTCAGAGCAGAGAAGTCCAAACATATTGTTAAATTATCATGCATAGCACTTGAAAATGTGCACTGCGCACCTGAAATATGATCCGATTTTATTTTATAGTGCTGCACATTTAGCCAGTGTTTTAGAGTAGGATAAAATTTTCATGTTACAAAAAGTGGTGAGGCACTGGAATGGGTTGCCCAGGGAGGTTGTGAATGCTCCATCCCTGGCAGTGTTCAAGATCAGGTTGGACGAAGCCTTGGGTGAGATGGTTTAGTGTGAGGTGTCCCTGCCCATGGCACGGGGGTTGGAACTAGATGATCTTAAGGTCCTTTCCAACCCTAACGATTCTATGATTCTATGATTCTAAGTGTGCAATCTTAAGACAAAACCCAGGGACAAGAAGTTAACCGTGAAAGGGCACAGACAGATTGCTTGTTATGAAATCCAGGCTCAGCAGGTGTTCTCTGAAAAACTGATACTCTCACAGTAAAACAGCAATAAGAAACCTGCTTCTGGAAAAATTTTGCTTGAGAAATAACAGAAGATAAGCCAGAACATGGCCTGTGTAACTTAAAGAGAAACAGAAATTAAGTTGCCAAAGAGAGGTAAAGTTAAAGTAATGGGTATCACAGGACTAAACCAACCTCACAGCACATGAATAAATAGTATGGAGAACAAAAGTCTTGCACATCCATTAACACCTCACTAGCACATCATCAATGCAAGTAAAGGGCCTAGACATAGGTCCACAGAGCCATTTAGTTCATCTCCTGTCCTCAGGACAGATCCATTTTACTTGTGTAAAGTGCACATCGGCATAACCTGCTCCAAACATAACCTGCTGCAGACTGCAGGCCTCCTCCAGCACCCTGCTACTTACTATTCAGGGGTCTCCTATCCCCATCCCCAAGCCTCACCTGAATCTCTGTTTCCATAGTGACTGTCCACTTACTGTGCCAAAACTGAGCATGGAGGACAGGTACCCTCCCCTTCTCTGCAACAGCTTTGAGACACCATGGCTGACTGACCCTGTCTAACCCCTCCGCTCGCTTTAAGTTACCCCTGTAGCATCTGCCTCAAAGGGGAGGAAAGTTAAAGCTTGCCTGTTCATTATCAGACCTGCTATTTAAAAATTCCCAAATATGCTGTGCCAAATGCACCATATTTAGACATATGTAATGCATACAGTGTACAAGAAGACCTGAGCCTATGTAACCCTATGGAGCAGCATACTAGGCATCAAGATGTTCATACATGTAGATCTGCCAAAGAATACATGTAGTCCTACCTAACCAGCCAAATATTTACCAAATGAGATGAATGTACATTTTCTGTACTGGTGACAGAATAAGATTTTCTTGGCTCAGCAGCTGTGCTGCATTCTGCCATCACCTCTGGAGTAATGGCAGAATGGAGAGCATTTTTCAATTGACGTAAACTTAGCCTGACTGAAATCAAGTCATAACAAAATATTGCTACATCATTCAAATACAATGGCAAGCTAATAAAAGACTGTAAGTGTAGTTCAAACAAAACACAGTTGGATTAAAACATTCAAAAATGACTGCTCAGGCCAAACGCTCTCTATGAAAAAAACTTTAAAACCCAGTAAAATTATGGCTCTGTACAGAGTTTCTGTATGATTAAGAACTTAGTTCTCATATGTTAAAGGGTTGTTCATATAGTCTGGGTTTTTTTCTTTATTCTCATTGCAGTGTCACAATGGTTCTCCAAATAAAATGAGCAACAGGCCCCTACATTTTGGAAACCATTACTTAGCTTAAAACCCATCACATGCTATACCTCCTAGGTCATAGAAAGTAAGAGGTAAATCCAGGCAAAGGATTTACTTTGAAGCTGAAGAGAATTAGGGGATTACTGCAGTAAGGCACCTGCTGGGCTTGCAGTGTCCTTGAAGGACTCTTTAGCCTGTATTTTCCCAGAGAATGAGAGGGAGTCTTTTCAACACAGATCCATTTCAACTGAGGGACATGGCTTTGCAAACTGCAAGTCAGCTCAGTACCTAGCTTCTTGGTTACTGCGGGGGCTGTGAGCCCGATTTCCAACCAGCACTAACAATATGGTGCAAAATAACCTTAAAATACCTAGACCATTCCACTAAATGATTCTGCCCACCAGATGGGAAATTACCTTCACCCATGGCTTGCCTGAAGTTGAGAAACAGTCATGAGTAATTCATAAAACTACTGTTATTTGAATACAACAAAAGCAGAATGCTTTGCTTCTCCTCCCAGTAAATGCAGACAGTACCAGATTTTGCTGAATAGCACTTCTTTCATGTGTCAGGCAGCAGAACCACCAGCATGTGCAGAGTCACAGCAATTGCCATCAATACCCCTAGAAAAAATGAAGTGTCCACCTTCATTTCTTCACCCACCCAATTCAATACTGGGAACCTAGGCCTGTACCTGCCCTGAAAAGCTGAAAAAGAAACTTTCTTCAATTAAAATCCTTCTAAAACAAAGGGAGTTAGAAGCCAGTCTCATCCTAACTTCCACAGATAAAAGCAAACCCCCTTCTAACATCAGCACAAGTAGCAAGAGCCAAATATCTGATTCAAGTGTTACATAACCGCTTTCATTCAGAGTATGCACGTTTCCTCTCTGTAAAAGTTTGTTACAAAAACTATTCTAGCAAAAAATTCTAGCAAGTACAAATAAATAAACAAACAAGACAATGAAATTGGTCTGTAACTACAAGTGTTCATACTATTTCTAGTTAAAACCAACATTATCGTGCAGGTTCCCCCCTATAGTCCAGACAGATATTCTTATGAAAACAAAAAACAACCAAACACAAATGCCATCCAAGAACATCTAACTGATCCCATAACATCCAGTTAGCTATAAAATGTGAAGCTCTTTCTTTGCTAGGCATGTCTGTAGTACTGTCCAACAACAGAACATTTCAGATAAGCAGCAATGCAAAATTTTCAGAACTGAAGTAAAAATTTTATTAGCTATTTGCTTTGTTCTTCAACTTAATACCTGAACAGTTTTTAACGACTTTCCTCCTACAAACATGCAGAATTAACAACAGTGAATAAAATAAAATTTTATTCCAGTGTGAAATGCAACCTATACAACAGATCTGCTGGCAGCACCTTCCATCCAAGCAGTTTCTTAAGTAGCTTTAGCAACACGTTTGGATTTAACAGGAAAAAGCTGTTAATAGAGTACCTGTCTAGAAGGAGCAGCAGGGAAAGCTGAATCGACAGATGATGGAGAAGAGGCAGCAGCCGAGTCATGAGGTGGAGGGCAAGAAGGAGTTGGGGGCTGAGAATAGGATAAGCCTTTAGTAGATAGTTTATTCTGTGTAAAGCAGAAATAGGAGAGTTATCCAAGAGACAGTGACATTAGCAGAGGTTAAGAGAGTAATTTCAAAGTCATGCATGAAAAAAATAGGATAATCATAGAATCATAGAATCGTTAGGGCTGGAAAGGACCTTAAGATCATCTAGTTCCAACCCCCCTGCCGTGGGTAGGGACACCTTACGCTAAATCATATCACCCAAGGCCTCGTCCAACCTGGTCTTGAACACTGCCAGGGATGGAGCATTCACAACCTCCCTGGGCAACCTGTTCCAGTGCCTCACCACCCTAACAGGAAAGAATTTCCTTCTTATATCCAACCTAAACTTCCCCTGTTTAAGTTTTAACCCGTTACCCCTTGTCCTATCACTACAGTCTCTAATGAAGAATCCCTCTCCAGCATCCCTATAGGCCCCCTTCAGATACTGGAAGGCTGCTATGAGGTCTCCACACAGCCTTCTCTTCTCCAGGCTGAACAGACCCAACTTCCTCTAATTCTGTTCTTTTTCCTCTATTTCTGCACAGGGAGGAGCCACAGAAATTATCAAGGTAAAACCTTCATGGCAAATTATATTATTGTACTCAGTTTTCTTTTAAAAATATTTACAGTGGACAGTTCGGTAAGATAGTGCTGTGAGAAAGCATAACAAAGCATAAGAAATGCCAGATTCCACCAAGAATTACAAATTCATTAGAAACTGTGAGCTACCAGTGTATATGTAAGCACAAGACATGGTTTATACTAACATTTCTCTCATGCTAATGTACTCTGATTAGCTCTATGATTTAGATTGTGTTTTGCCTCAAATTATGAATAATACATAGCCTTTTGCCAGTTACAGGGGAATCCACATTGTTTTTCAGATCCACCCAAGGTGAAAGGAAAGTTAGAAACAAAACTACTGAAATTTCCCTCCCCCTGATTTCTCGTATGTCTTCTAACTCAGCACTTTTTCAGGTATAAAACCTAATATTCACCTTTGGAAGCTCCATGTATCCAAACATTGAGGCAAGATGTGCTGCTTTCTCTTTAATGTTCTTTTTATGGAATTCCCTGTTTGCTATGTTCTGAGCTCTTTTCTGCAATAAGAGCCAGGGAAGGAATGCCAAGAAAGGAGAGAGAGAGAGAGAGAGAGATTGAGAAATCTCTGTTAATGTCACATACATCATGAGAATATATCAAGTTTGTAGAAAGACTTTTTATTGTCTTAATATAGCCTATAGTCAACAGAGAAAAAGCCAGCACAACTAGGGACAATACAGGATACAGATTAACATATGCAGTTAAGAGACAGAAAGGAAAAGAAATTGCTTGTCACCTGTTTCATTTTTTCCTCCAGGTGCTGAAGACGCTCAAGCACTCCAGAAAGTACAAATGCAGCAGAACAGGCAGATGCGAGATTTTCAGAGGTTTCTGACAGACTGGGTTGGGTATCTGTTTTTTGTACAGTCTTTGCTCTCCTGGCCATATGATCAGAACCATCTAAAGACTGTTTGGGTTCCCTGACCTCGTGTTCACTCCTAGCTAGCACCTGAAACTGGGAAACACTTGAAGTGAAAAAAATCTGCTTTCTGCACTACCATGCAGTATATGCAGCTTTTAAGAACGCTTCTGAAAGCACAGCACAGTCATGCACATAACTAGAATCAAAATGTTCTCACATCACTCTTTGCAAACTACCTACTGCATCTCTGATGCTTGCATCCATGCACTGAAATAAATCGGTCCTGCATAACTTACGCAGGTCTTGACATCCTTCTCTAGGTCTGTGTCAGTTTTTATGAATAACCCCAGTTAGCATCAGTGCAGAAGAACACGACACTGCATCTCCTTCCAGGTTTTTTAGCAAGGATTTTGCTTGCTTGTTTGTTTTAGTATTACATCTGCCTGAAACTAAACTTACAATCAACTTGTAAGGATATCAACAGTAGTTCTCAGTGTAATTCTAGATCTAGTCTAACCCAAGTTAAGCTATAAAGTATCTAAGATTTAAACAATTTTAAGGAGTTCATTGAGGATTTCAGAATAGGTCTCTGAATTTGAGTCTTTACATAGAATAGCTTTTGAAGTAAAGAAAACATTTGAATCAGTTCAGCTTTATCAAACTCAGTCTTACCTTCCAGTTGGGTCTTTTCATGAGAGTTTTCTACTTCATCCTATCTGTCCAATTCAATTAAATACATAAACTTTCCAAATTTCTCAGAATTAAAATATAAAAACCTAATGCCAATCAACTTGCAGTGTGCTTCTGATGTTTCAGAATAGCAGATCTGCCTTTGAAACAGCAATTCTCAACTAGTTTATGAATCTGCATTTTTCATCAAGCTGATTGGCAGATTTCCATATGCAATGCAGATCCCATTTCACTGAAGACTACTCTTGCAATGCCCCTACATGGTATTTACTTCAATTTAACATTCTATTGTAAAGTGAATGTCAATACTATTTGATATAAGACTGCTTTCATTGGAAGTATCAAGAGAAAAATTTAGACAATGTATTCAAACATTTTGCCCCATGTATATGACGCAGCAAAAGAGTTTTCAGCAGAAATTCTTATTACAAGTTTTGCTTAAAGAAATAAAACCTCTGGGCATCAATATCAGCTTTTCAATGCTCAAGCTTTTATCTCGGATATTTTTGCCGGGTTTCTTGGGACGGAAAACTCCTTTTGCATTATCTTTACAATAGCCCAAAACATCAAGTACATGCACAGACAAATTTTCAGATACTGCTGTAGTTTTCTCACATGTTAAATGTAGCTATGTAATTATATTTATACAGTTTGGACTATAGATGTGATAACACAGAAATCAACACCTATGTTTTTAGGTTTGTTTTGTTTTGGTTTTATTTCCCCCCACAGTTATTAATTCTTTCAAATAGTTTTCTCATCTGGTCAAGCAGGTATAAAATAGCCTTAAACTTTAATGTGGTTTTCACAATTCTGAGCTAAATATATCTGTTAACTTTGCAGATTACATCCACATGTTGTTTTATATATTCTATAGTTACACAGTAAGACTGAGTTCTCAGCAATGAGAGAAAAAGTGTGATTGTCGGTGTTACCAATGTGAGTTCCTACCTGCCTTTTTGGTTGAGGAGGAAGAAGACTTGCATCCTTAGGCTTAGCAAAGCGAGGATTAACAGGAGGGTCAGAAGAAAGCAGGCCTCGTCTATCTATTAGCTCCTTGTAAAGCATTTTTAAAATTACAAAGACAGAGAAGAGGGGGAAAAAAAAAAAAAAGGAAGACAGTAAATAGGATTCAAAGGTCTTTTGAGGCAGAAAGAAATAAAAGCCGGTTTTAAAGACACGTTACTATGGAGCTTAACAACATGCTTTGTAGACTTTTGTCACTGACCAATTTTATTAACCCCTTCTACCATCAAAGATATACTTAAAATTCAGTGCATTCAGTACTCTTTTAGAAAGGTTATGATCAAAAGGTTAAAAAAAAAAGCATCAAGCATTCCTTCAACAAGGCCAAGCAAACCTCTGCACACATAGCACATGCAGAAAACTCAGGGCATTGACAAGCAGCCAGGTAGAGCGCAAAGAACAGCAGTTCACACACTGCAGAAGTCACTTGACAACTACAGCCTACGTTTCTGGAGGACTTAAATATGTAAAAGAAAAAAATGGATACAAGCACAAAGAATTAAGAAAACCACCTCCTTCTGTGGAACCTCAACACCTTGTTCATCCTTCCTTCAAATATTTCATGTGACAGATCCAAACTCAGCTGACTCAAACCATCTCACTAGCTAAAGTGTGATTTCGAGTTTATGATCACTACCTTGACAGCACTGGATTATCTTTAAACCATGAAAATGCCACTGAACGTACAAATATATTCCATTATGTCTACTTTACAAATGGAAATGCAGCCAGACACATCTTACAAAAGGTTAGATTACCTTCTATGCTTTCTAAATTTTCCACAAAGAAAGATTCCACTGGATGTGTAGAGTCCTTTAGTCATAGAATATAGGGAAAAAAAAAAAGTCCTTCTGCAATACCATATGCAGTCAGCTGTGACTTCCACACAAAGCAAAAATTCTACAGACTGGCTTACAAGAGATTTTTAGATATTGCAATTCCACCACACTTTATTATTAAAATATTTATTAATACATTATATAAATATGCATTAGTCAACCTATATTAGTCAGATTTGTTCATTAACTACTGAAAGGAATACCTTTAATTTGCATACAGCATCACGTTCGCAAGGAGTGACTACAGTTTAATTTCAGAGATTACTTTTGCATTCACCTATGACATACCTGCCTCCGAAAAATTGTATTTGGAGCATTCTCTTCAAACTTTGCCAACAGTTGAGTTGCCATTGATTTAACTTTATTCTGGTTTGTTCCTTCTCTGCCATCACTCTGTTCTTTTCCATTTATCCCTTGGCTTGAAAAGCCTGAAGTCTGCAAGGAAACAACAAAATATGGTTTTCCTGAGTTTGCCTACAACACTCACGGAGAGAGAAAAAGAGAGATGTAACATCCTTATCAGCAAAGGGCAATAGGAAATACATCTATATAATATTATATAGATGAGTTAAAGATGAGGCTGTTTAGCATGCCAAAGTCACCAACAAGTACTCTCTTTGGTCCCAGAGTACAGCAAAAAAGGGAATATTAACTGGTGTTAGTGATAAAACAGAGCCACCAACACACCTTAAGCATTCTTGGATCTCAAAGAAAACTAGTGCAATTTAGGTGATGCTCTCCTCCCTGACAAATGATTTAAATATATTTAGCTCTTTAGGGCACACCATGGTAAATTCAAGGTTTTTAAGGAGAGAGGCTGGCTTTTTCTTTCCTGCCAAGCACAAAAAGGGCCAAGCCCCAGCCCCCCAACTTCACTGCTTCCTCAGCTCTGGTGCTCATCGAGGAACTGGCTGAACACCACTGAACACCAACCTCCTCGAAGACACCAAAAAGACCTTTTCGACGTCTTTTATTAGACTCATTTTCTTCCGTTTTCCCTTCAACCTGGAATGGTAAAGTCAAAACAAGTTTATGGATTACTGCAGCAGTTACCAGATTAACCCACACAGTTCCTCCCAGGATATTAACTTTCATAACCAGGCAGTGTGGTCTGGCCTGTGTTAAATAAGGCAAACCCAGGTGAGCAGTGCCAGCATGCGGGGATCCTCATGGCACTGGCGTGCCTCATCAAACCCACACATGAGGAGGCTGGTGACCCTCATGGGAGTTATCACATATATCAAAGCTGCCCTGTAACCCCTGACTGGGAGCTCTCACTGGACTCTGATGGGTGAAAATACATGCTTCTACACCCTGTTGAACACAGGCCCTACATTGTTGGTGTTTATCTTGTCCTCTTTCAGTGTTGAAGAGTTTGTAATTCATAAATTACTGGCACATCCTTGAAGGAAAAGGCATTACAGCATCACTTATTCTGTGAATTTTAGTCTAGACTACACTGGTTTACAGGTAAATAACAAAATCCAGAAACCCCTTACTCTTTCACATCTTTTAATTAGATATCTGCATGCAGATCATGTGTTTATAGCGCAGACATACCTCTTTTGGGGAAGCAATTATTGTCTACCTTAAAGTCTGTCGCCCTTGTAAGGTTCATCTCCCTGACTATGGCTTTACATTACAATACTTAAGCAACCAAATTGCCTATTTTGTGCTCAAGCTACGCACATGTTTGATTACTCTACTGAATTAGGGATGGCACAACAAATACTACTTCATACTCAGTCTGGATGAACTTGCAAAATAGTCAATGCTTAAAAATTTGTAACAGTTCTTATTAAATTCAATTTTGAAGACTTGGTACAATGGAAATTTTTTTTTTTGTCTGATAGATGTCATGTTGAGTTACACTTTATGAACAATAGACTCCACTTATTTGCATCTGCCCATGCTGCATCTTAGTGATTGCTCAGCCAATTAAAAAAAAAAGAAAAAAAGAATGAAGAGAGATCAAAGAATACAGGATTCCTTTTTATAGATACACTGTAATAAATCATTATGCAGTGAATAGAAGTAATCCCAAACAACTTCTGAGCAAACACCAAAAGAATCAGGTGACAGTATTTTGATTACTTTGTATGCTTTGGTACATTGTCTTTCAAGCACTAGCTCTCAGTAACCTAGCTTAACACTGCCTATAGTCATTAGTCTACCAAGGAAAATTGAACAACATAACAGCACAATGTATTCTGCATAATAATCTGTACCACATAAAAGCAGACTTCGCCTAAGTGAATGGAGCAAACAAGATGATGCCTTTCGAAAAGTCTTACACAAAGGACTTTAATTAAGATATTTTACAAAGAAATGAAAGACAAAGCAATTTAATTACCTAGCAAAACTGCAAGAAAAAGGACTGTGCCCTTTATTGTGTAAACACCTCTATTCATTTATTAGTCTGGAGCACAGGAAATCTCAGTTCCTCTCCAGCCCTGCCGACACTGCTGGAGAATGGAAAACATTATCCAGCCCAACACACCCTGCCAGAACAGCTGGCCACACCAGTTCCAGGGTCCCGCTTCCTGGTCTCTCCTAATCTGAGCCCAGATAAGGATCCCTCTTCCAGCCAAATAAAAGGACAAACTAGATGGTATGGAAAGTTTTGTAAGCAACACTGTTACCCTGGCTGGTTTCTGAGTCTATGATATGTGAGTGCTCTCTTACAGTAATACCTGGATAATGCTCAGCAGCACTTTTTGCAGGGGAAAGAGACATAAATCTGAAGCCAAACTCTTAACTCAAGCAGTTGCTTTCCAAGGAGTTTCATTTCCCAGCTAGTTTCAGCTGGTTCTGGCACTCAAAAGGCTCTGTTCTAACCCGAGTACCATGTTCCTTGCTTACTTTCACACCCCAGCCATGACAGGGCTGCAAAGCCCTATACAAAATAAGGTCTTCACAGTCCCACTCCCCAAGCTGATTTGGAAAATACGGCCTTCGCTTCTCATTTCAAACAAACCACTGCAGTGTGAAACCAAAGGGGCCCATCAAGCAAATAACCTCATGCTTTCATGTAGTGCCAAGAACTATACCTCCTGTTATGACAGAAGGCTTATTTCATGATGGGAGGTTAGTCAGAAGGGCTGCACAGCTTAGTAATGGAAAGCTCTCCCCATTACTAAAAAGTCTATTTACTTCCACAAATAACTCAGGGAAAACCAACAACACTGTGGTCATGAAGAAGATTTTTCTTCTGAAGAAGTCACCCACAAGAAAAAGCAATGTTTATTTTGCCTATTTGATTTCCCACTGGTTGGTTAGCTGGGAAATATCACTTGGTTTTGTGTATATGTGGGTGGCAGGGAAAAGTTATTTCCTAACAAGGATATATGAGGTTACTGTGTTGTCCACAGGTTTCAAAAATGTGTTTCCTTATAGAAAATATCTGAGCCATCATCTAGGAAATCACTAGAAATTCTGGAGCAATTCTTCAGGTAGAAAACAAACAAACAAAAAATCCCACATTTCCATGAAAACTGAGAAGGTAAATTGGCAACAAATTTAAAAAGCAACACATTAAACTACAGAGAATGCAGTACATACATGTACACCTGAACTTTTCTGAAGGACACTGAATTCCAAAGAATTTGGAAATGTGTAGTTTTGAAGACAAAACTTAAAGAGTCTCTGCATAGGTGTAAATGAAGCAATACAGTTAAGCATGAATGAGGTCTGTTAAAAAGGAAAAAAAAAGAAAAGGAAGAAATAAAAAGAAAAAAAAAACAAACACCAAAACCCAACAAAGCAAGGGCTTGAGAACTGTAGCAGTAAATACACAGTTTCTGACCAGCCCAGGAAAGTCAAAGCCTGGAACAATTTTGCATTAAGCTTTGTTTCAGAAAATACAGAAGTTAAATTCATTTTGGTGGAGTACATGCTGCTAACTTGTGCTGGTTAATCTGCAGCAGCTGGATTTGAGACACTGGTGCCTCTGAGCCAGGCTTTGCAGACATTCCCCATGTAAACTGAAATTAGAATGAAGGTAGGCTTGGCTGTGGACGCACAGTCCCTCCTCAAGGTCTCCTTTCAAAAGAGGACCAGGTTAATGAATAGGCAGAAGGTGAAACAGTTTATTACTGAATAATTTCATTAGAGTAACCTATAAATTAAATCATAGAAAACTTCTGAAGTTTTAATCCATTCAGAAACATAATACTCTGACTGCACACTGTCCTATGCCACACAATATTAACTCAGGGCTTCATAACCTTTCAAGGCCCCAGAGTGTTGAACCACAACATGTATGGGCATGGATATGTTTTATAAAGGGGCATAAAAAGGGCATTTCAATAAGTCTTCACTAATAAGTGACCAAGAGAAGAATATATGTATATGAGTAAGAGAGCATCATCTCAGAGTCAAGCCAGTCAGCCTGCCCACTGTTTGTTACCGATTCAGGCTTTATACATCTATAAGTATTCGAAAGCTTCCCTCCAGAACCATGACAGCAACCACACCTGCTCAAAACACTGCTTTGTGAAAAAACAGCACTCACTCCCAATCAATAAGCCTTCTAGCATACCAGTGACTATTTGAACTGAAATATAATAATATGGCTGCATATTTAACTCTAGGAATACAGAACTACAGTACTATTTTTTCTTAAGGGTAGGAATAACCTAGAAAAATTCCAGACTTTCCTGTCTCAAAAAACAAAAAACTCAAGCCCAAAGCCCCCCCAAACTAAAATAATCCTTAGTATTTAGCATTGCACAAAACCTCCTAAAAATTATTTTGGAAAATCTTTTTTTCAAGAAATAAAACATAAAAGACAATACACACAACAGAGCCAAGATCTCAAATATTTCAAGTTGAAAATGTTAATTTGTAAACACAACAAATAAAACAACCTTCTCCTCTTATTTTCACCTTCACTGAAGAAGATATCAGTGGACAATAGATATTAATTCTCCCCAAGTACACCTAAATTCTCACTGTGATTTGAAATTTTGCAGTTACAGAGAATGCTTAACTGGGACTATTATTAATGCTTCAGCAATTTGACACTGACAAATGCTTCAGTATTATCCTTACAAACATCATAAGAATTGACTGTGCATGTGTGTGTTAGCTTTGTTTACTGTGAAATCTTATTTTTCTTCTTTAATATGCTCAAAAATCTCCTTCTACAGCTCTTTTAATAGTAGGATACATATAAAACCTTTATTTCTAAACCTGACAGTTTATTTTCATCTTCTCAACAGAGAAAGGCTTATAGGGCCATTCTTACCTTTGGTACTCGTTTTCTTGGAAAAGTTAAATTGATGTAATTATTAAAGATGAAATTGGATGATTTTGCTGAACAAAGATCATTATGTTCTCCATTTTGCTTCTCACCAGCATCTGTTCAAAAAACAACTGCTTAGGATATTTACTCAAATTTCTTTTTTAAATGCTTTGTCCCAGGCAAAATTTTCCAGTTGAGTGCTGGTAGCAATTATACATAAGAAACCCAAGCCAATAAAATAAACACATACAATATAGGGTGACTTTTTAAAAAAGGAAGAGAAGCACCCAGGAATGGACAAGCCATATGCAGTCATTCTTACCAGAGAATCACTCTAACGGCCCGATACATGAACTTTATGATGTCAAGCAGCAGTTATTCAGCTGCTTCTGTTCTCTGAAACCACCAAGGACCCACAAAACCTTGGTCTTCAATCAAGTTTTTCCCCCTTTCATTTTTAAAGCACAAGGTAGCTATTGCAGACAGAAGCAGGCACTCTTGCATTCCAGAACAGCTCAGCTGGGAAAAGACTCTTGGCTCAAGAGCAGTGCTCATAAGCAGCCTGGATGAAGCGCTTCCGTCCCCTAAACTTGCAAGAATTAGGAGTGGCCTGGGTTTGGCTTACCTACTGCCCGCAGCGGTGTGCCCCTGAACAGTTCATAGAACTTGGAGAGGTACATGACCATGCTGAGCTTGTCGGGCTCCCCAGCCGACCCCACCTCCTTCCCCGTGGTCACAGGGGGGATCCCAAACTCCTGCTCAGCAACATCGAATGCCAGCTGGTTGTTTTTGACAACATCCTCTTCATTCAGAGCATCAAAGTCACTGTGGGGCAACACACTAGTATTAGTGGCAGTTTCCTCTCTGATTCCCACAGAAAAATGCAGTGCTCATGTCCATCACATAGGTGCAGAACAGCACCACGAATGTGCACACAGGCATTTTACTGGGTCAAAGCGACAGATATGCCAAAGGTAAGAAATCCCATTATTACAAATCCTGGCTTTGCAAAAATGTAATTTAGAAGCTATTTCACTGAAATGGATTTTGATGCAGTCCCATGAAAAGGATTAGCTTATTTGTGAACAACTGCAATTCCTCCTTAGAAGTGCTAAGAAAATTTTATCCTCTCCAAATACAGCTGTACTTCTACAGAGTTCACCTGTTAGCAACTGACTTTTTAGTTTTGATTAGTTCTAGAAAACATCAAAGTCAGGAGTAGAAAAATTTAGGCTCATGTTTTATGAAACAAATGTTAGGTGCACACACACACACATGCACAGGCACTACCTTTCTTTTTAAGGTGTTCCACACACAGTTCAAATGAGGACCTACTGTCCATGTCATAACTGAATTTAGCAGCACACTAAATAAGTATATCACACATCTGGAACTGTGTTTATCCATTCTCTAATCCATTTTCTATGGGACCTATTCTAAGACTCTGATCTCTTGAACAGCCTCCAAAATTCATGATTAAAATAAACATGTGAATAAATTACAAAGCTCAGGGCAGGGTAGCTTCTCCTCATAAGGAATGTGAGGTTTTGAATCCCCAAAGAACTTCTTTCTCTCCCCACACAAACTGTCTATTCCTGGAGCCAGGGGGCTGCAGGCAGCCCTCCACCCCAGCCCTGCCTGCAATCCACAGGCAGCTGACTGCTGCCTGCCCAGCTTTGATCTGGCCAAGTCCTTCAGCAGCCCCATTTATTACAAAAAGCCAACAATATCTGAACACAATGTTAATTAAATAGCAGGAAGTCTGTTAGCTCAGGAAATCTATCAGCTTTCTAGAGAGAGCAGGGCTTAAGAGACATGCTTTCCACAGACAGAAAAGATTACTTTGCTTTCTACACTGTCCTCTCCACAAAACCATCCATAATTCTTTTAAACGAATAAAAGGGAAAAAACAAACCAAACCCAAAAAAATCTAATTTTTAAAATCCTAGCTCTTCCTCTGGCAAAGCTGTACAAACAAGCATCCTTGTTATCATTCCTGTTTTTTCCAAATTATCACACCTCATAAAAGAGCTCAATCATTTCTTTCATTTATCCACAGTAATGGGTGGCTGACAATAATTCATTCGTGACTCCTAAGTCTGTGTAGGTAGACAAGAGAATGCATCCACTGCATTCTGGAGACTGGTGAGAGGACAAAAGAGTCACCCCACCACAGACTGCAGCAGGCAGGCACAGTAACCCAGCACCAGCAATTGCCATTTCCTGACACCTATTAAACACCGACCCCGTGGTATCTAACAGAGGAACCTTACAAAACATTTATACATAAGAATGTATGTATTATAGAGTTAGGACCCCAGAAACACTGTCAAAAGTGGAATGCTGGCTTACATTCAATCCCTAAAGCAGTTAATTTTCAAGGGCCAGCCCTTGTTACACAGCCCACGTGCAAGGGAACTGTGCTCTTCTGGACAAAGAGTTATGCAAAACCACCATCTCCTGTGCACCAACATGGCCCACCATTTCCCTACATGACTGTCACAGTAACCACTACAATATACTGAGGATGGTCCATTTAAGGCTCACCCTGGTATTTCTGTAACTCATGACAGTGACGTTCTGGTTTCAAACATACACTAAAAAGCTGTCTCTAGAGACCTGGGAATGCAACTCTCGCATTCTCCAAGCACTGCAATTTTCGTTTTAAATAGCCATGTGACAAACATGATCATAAATCATAAGGTTCAAAGCCTTCCTAGCTCTTTGAAAGCATATATACTTCATTTTAAATGGTGTGCAAAGACATACAAAAAAAAAAAACAAAGCAAAAACTACCCCACCCTCTCCATCCCCCAAACCTGGCAATGGTGTGCATCTCCTTGCAAAGACCAGAAATAAAAGGGGACTCTGGAGTATCAGTGCTGTTCTCATTGGTTTTACCCTATACTTTGGTAAATGCTTAACATGCCTACACTTAACAAGATCTACAGATGCCACTTACATGAGGTCAGGTCTGAAGCGATGGATAATAGCACACAGTGCAAGGCCACTTTTCCAGGAGGTAGTCAGGTCTGTGACGTTAACATTACGGTACCCTTCTGTCTGCTTCTGACACCAGGTCAAAAGCTTGTTAGGTCGAATATCTGACTCTGCAGTTACAGTGGAGAGCAAATGTTTCAATCAATTTTTGTATGCTCAGAATGCTCTAAATACTAAGTGCTGCAGGAAACATGAGATGTCACATACCGTGTCTTGCAAGATTCACTGATCTTCTAATGGAGCTCACTCTTTCAAGAGGACATTGTTGTAACTCAGTGGTAACATATAATTGTCTCACCTACAAGTAAAAGCAATTAGCAGCACAATGTGAGAATCGCTTAGAGAGAAAAACAAGAGTTACCCTAGAAAGAAAACTTTATTAACAGTTGGCTCTAAATTAAGGAATCTCCTGAAGATTTTGTTCATGCACTATTTACAGCCCTGATTTCACAAGCAACCTTTTAAGAACTAACCTGATGAGGTCGAACACAGCTTGAGTTCAAATTTGGGTATCTTGTTCCAGGGTCAATGGTATACTGGTCAAAGTTCTTGTTAATATTTTCAGGGGTAGTCTGAGGCAAGAGTCGATAAATGCTCTCTCTGGTAGAGAAAAAAAGATGCAAGATATATTGATTAAAATAAATATTTATTACATAAAGTGTATTTATTTTTTGCAGCTACCTGCACCTGATTTTGATTCTGCTAGGACAAGTGTTATGCACTAACTGCATAATGCATCCATCCTATCTCCTATCCCCACTCAGCAGAACAACAGAATGATGCCAGACAAAAAGGACAGCAAAAAGACAGACTCTCAGAACTTATGCCCGTATTTTCCTGAGGCAGGAAGTGAGCAAGAAAAAGAAGAGGAGGGAGGAAAAAAAAAAAAAAAAAGGTTACATCATTCAGTCATCTGGTTTTGCTTTAACATCCACACAAGGAGTAACTTATTTACCACATAACAGCACTAGATCCTGTCATTCTGCAATGCCTATAACCACCACAGCCTTTTTATTATGCTGTTCAATTTTCCATTTGGGACTAGGCTGTGTTTGAGTCATCCCACAGGCTTCTATCTTAAACCTTCTCAAAGCACTGTTCTTAGTAATGCTTCTACTTGCATTACTACAACCGTGACTATTTCTATTGTGTATCTGCCCCAGAAACACCTGGGCAGCTGCAGCAGAGCAGGGCAGTTGCCATCAGGACCAGAATCAGCAACTTGAACCATCAGACCATGGCAACACCAGGATTGCTGGTGTACTTATGGCTGGAAAGTTAGTCTTTTGACACAACCAAAGTAACTCTGGTTTACTTCCTTAAGGATCTCACTTACTCCTAGTCATTAGCGACTTGAATTAATGCTGTAAACCCATGTTATACGCATTGCTGGATCTCTGTATTAGTGTGCAGAAGTGTACAGCACAATGGCCTACTGCTATTGTAAACTGTTCAGTAACCTGAGCTAATAGATAATCTCAACCCAATGCCATTGCAGTGAAGAATATTTTTCCTAGTGGCATTCTGAACTTCACTGCCTTCTAACAGTGCTGCAACTCCTTCAAACACTGGGAATGGTGGAGAAGACAAAAGCAGCACTTACCGTTCAGCAAGAATTTCTAATGGGGGTTTTCCTTGAGCCCAGCTCCTCACCATCCATGCAGTATCAAAAGCAGCTAAGAAGCCTCTTGCACAGCCAGTACCCATTGGCCAGAAGGGCTGTAAGAAGCAATTACATTTTAATTCCTTGTATTAATGTCTTATTACAAAAGTAACCTGCAATGTGATTTTGGAGTCTAGGGTTTCATACTGTAACAGAAAAGTAGCCCTGAAAGAGTTAAAATGCAACAACTTGCAATTTTTAGACATTTCTCTCCTCCACATCTTAGGTAATGAAAAAAACTGCTTTCACATTTTCTTTTTTTAGCTTCTATATTTAAAAACAGACTCCTTAACCTCTAAAGGTACAGGCTGACGGGAAAACAAGGAAAAAATAAAAGAAAAAAAAGACTCAATACTCAAGAATTACTCTAGGAAAAAAAAAAAAAAGGAAAAAAAATGCCTTTCTTCCCATCTCCTAATTTTGCTTTGAACTGATCTTTTCAGACACTTCAGGCTGTCAGCATGAACTTAAAAAAAAAAATAAAAAAATTAGTTGTGAAATACACTTTTCACTTCAGAATAAGAGAACATATTAAGGCAAAGAGACTACAATTTAAATTTGGACCAAGTTTTCTCTATGATGAAAGTCAGGAAAATTATGCCATGCACCCAAGCTGAGGACACACAGCTCAGTTTTCAGACAGAAAAAAAACCTTGCATAAAGCAAAATAGGATCTCAGCTACAGAGTGTGAGCCAAGCATTAGTTATGACATAACTATGGCATAAAAAAAAAGGAAAAAAAAAATCTATTCCAAAGAAAGTACACATAAGAGAGTACAGTTTGTTTTGGAGGGTAGATTGAATGGCTCGGTTAAGGGGAAAAAATAAAGATACACCTCAAGCAAACTATCTCCAACAAGAGCCACCAGGAGCTGATGTCTGTGTCTCTGTCTCACTAGCGCAGCATTTTCAGATGCATACATAGAAGTAAAATCAAACATTGCCACATCTGGTTGCCCATAGTGATTAATTGCAAAATCCAAGGAAGGCAGCTGGTAGTTGGTTGCAAAGTCAGCAGCTTCTCTAGCATAGGACAGCAAATTGCTCTGGTTCACATTTTCGCCACAGAGGAGCAACTCAGTATCAATATAGTCCTGCAGGGAGAGAAGCATGTAGATTAGATACTCCAACTATACTCTCTGGATTGGAACATTGCAGTGTCATAGCATGAGTAGCAATCACACATCTCACAGCATAAAGAACCACGTAAGGTTTGTGATCTCCTCCAAGAAGTTAATACAAAACATCAAAACATCAAAAGATGTTACCATCATCATTGCAATGCTTTCTTGCATGTGTGCACCCCACATCTGAAACCACACGAGAGCAGAAATACCAACATACTGATGATATAACATGCAGGTCTCGGCCTCAAGGCTTGACTTAACACCTCGGTAACAATACATTCAAACTTAACACTGTGGAAACTTTTCTGTTGTGCTGTTTTGGGCTGGGTTTTCTTTGGCCAGTGTGGTAAAGGCCCCCACCTTTGCAGGTCACCCTACTTAAAGCCAGTGATTATTAATAAGGCAGTTTCTATTTACAGCTTAATCGCAGATGAGACCCCTAATCGTAGGGATGATACCACAGAATCCCTATTAGCCCAGTTGTTTTAGAGAGACTGTTTTGGTTTCTCTCCCACTCAGACCTGAGCAGCTTAGAAGAGCTCTGACAGCCACAGCTTCTGCTCCTCTTCTTCAAACTACCCACAGACCTCCCAGGACTGCCCTCACCTACAAACATCAGCCCCTCAACCCCAGGACCTATGTCCAGTTCTGTCCACCCTGCACTGCAGGGGGGCTGATGCCCTTCCCCTCTCCCATCCTGGCTGGTCAAGGCCAGCTGCTCTGCTCTGGGACCATCCTCTGAAAGGGCAGGAGTTCATGGTACCGAGCTAAGTGGTCCCATCAGGAAGCCAAGCAGCTTTCTGATAGCTCCCCACAAGTACTTCCTTCGGGAAATTATACTCGACTCATTTTGGCACGGTCTTACTTTAAGAAAAATTGACCTCTCTTGAGTTTCCAGGAAGACAAATTTAAATGATGCCAAAACACTCTCTAGAAACAAAAGAAAATAAACCCATACATCTTAGAGAAGAAGGAAAACAAACAAACAAAAAAAAAAAAAAAAAAGAAAAAAGGCCTCAAAGGCCTGAACTTTCAGAGGTACTTGGGACATTGTGCTTATAGCCTACTTATATCATGTTCTATGAACATTAGAGAATTTGCAATTTAGCCTGGGGTAGGTCTTAATGCTTCCTTATTTGCCTGATAAAACTGGACATAGCTGTGTTAAGTTCACCTTTAAATAATGAGGATTTTATTTTCTAGTGTGTTGACCACACTACATATTTCCAAGGTGAGTCAAGATCCCATTTCAGCCAGTTTCAGAACTGATAAATTTAGGACATACTGTTTTCAGTTCTCTACAGAAACTTGGTGCTGACTGGAGGGAAAAAGCACATTAACAAAAAAAGTCACAGTAAGATCTAAGAGATCTGAGCTTTCATGGAATGATGTAGTAAGTCCATAAATACCCTCTATAACATGCATCAACATTTATGCAGATGTTCACACTTATTCTGTGCCAAGTAAATAAAATTAGGTTTTAGCCAGCATTTTTACATACATTAATAATTACTCCTTTGTCCAGAAGACTCTGCTTTTTTGCTGTCATCACAAAATAATGAGTACTATCTTTATAGTAAACAATATTCTCCAGGTCAATTCCTGAAAAGAGATAATACATTTGTTATCAAGCACTGCCTGTGTACTTTACTAACAACATGTGACAGAGCCTCACAGATGCCTTTCCTTCTTGGGATACCTTAGCAGCTGGGATAAAGCATTAGTGGACAAGATACCATTAAAGAAAACCCCAACAGACAAACAAAAAACAAACAAACCACACACACACACACAAACCCCACAATCAAACAAACAAACACAAACCCCAAAAGCCCAAAAACCAACCAACCAAAAACCAAAAACCACAACCAACCCACAAAACCAACCAAAATCAAAAAGGGAAATAAGCCAGTAAAGTGCTTTTTAGGTTGCTGGGGCTCTGGCATTGGGTCTAACCAGCAGTTTGGGTTTCTATTGTAGTAATTTTTAATAAATGAAATTAGCTGTACATCAAGAATGGAATTGCTTGTACTGACAGTGCAACTCCTCTGAAACCCCTTTTCATGAAAATGTTTCATAGTTTATATTTTAAGTATTTATGGCAGATTCCTGTGTAATTCTTTTCAGTTTATCAGATCTGCACATCAAAACCAAAGATTAAACTCCTCCCAGAAGGGCAGAGCCTTTTTCACAGGGTTTAAGCTGTTCAGTATGTGAACGGATACAAACAAAACAAGCTATGTCTTAAGGGAAATCTCTGGGCACTGCAAATGCTCTTCTAAATTTGTTCAAGATAGCAGACATTTTTACAGTTGAGAAAAATTTAAACATTAAAACAAGCTATGAGGTGGCAACGCCCAAGCTAAAAAATATAAATAAATAAATAAATCCCACTGCACCATAAATGGACACCTCCATCTGCAAGGCTCTGACATCAACGGCATTTTAGGCAGGTTTTTTTATACACTGTATTTAAATTGATGCGAATAGGAGGGTGGCCTGGCACATGAAGAGTTCCTCTATTCTCTCTTGTATTTGGTTGTGGAAATAAGAAAAAGAGGATGCACCCACCCGTTTCCTCTTTAAGATCCTGGAAGAACTTCTGATTGAAGATGAAAGCAACACCACTAATTTCTTCTACCTTGGCTTCTGCAGTTGTATTTCTGTTTATAAAATTGGCAGTGATAGCTATGGCCAGCTTTCCACGGAACTCCTTCCTCCTGAAACCTGGTAAGCAAAGAAAAAATTAAAGACACTGAAAATTTCACATTGGACTTCCAGGAAGAAGCTGCGCAAGGCAGCTTGGTCTCTTTTCTGTGTCTAGCCCTACATATCAAACAACACACCAGAAGCAGCTTCCATCACTTCTCCAAAATTCCCTTGAATGAAGGAGTCTTTTCTCCCCAGTTCAGTGCAAAACTGAAGCTGCACTGCATTCAAGATAAAGTCTCGATAAGATAAAAAAAAACAAAACCTGGAGGGGAACCATGGGAAGAAGTGCAATATGGGAAGAAGTTAAGAGCAAATGATAACTAAAGAACAACAGATTGGAAATAGAACAGATCAAATTTAATGGAGGAAAACATTATTAACATGTAAAATATTAAATAAGATTTTTGTTACATAGATGGTAAACAGCTTAAGAAAAAACATGCAAGGGGATCAGCAGTCAAAAGCAGCAAAGAACGATCTGAAAAACAGAAACCTCTAGAACAGTGCTTAGATGCACATACTCCCAGCTAGTGAGGTTTTCCAAAGATATTAGGGGATGAAAAATATTCAGTGGCTTATCTGTCATATTCCCAAGGTGAGATTGACTGCAAAGTCATTCGCTGTCTTGCTCCATCCTAGCTTCCTCTTTTCACAAAAAAAAAAAAAAAAGGCCACTAAGCCACTATCTTGCAATTACACATTGAAGTTTTTCCGTCTGGATAGTCCCCTTTACCTGTAAGTAAATTCTGAAGTAGGACAGAGGGTCCTTATTTTTAAGGCCAATTGCAGATGACTTTGCAGAGAATACATGTAGTTTTTAAGAAGAAATAAATTAGCTATAAATTTTTGTCTCTGTGCTTCTTGATATGGTCTCATTATTTCACTGGGATTGATTTGACAATACCAGCCTCTGTATGTAAACAACCTTCAGTGCGCTAATTTTTCCCTTAGATCCTGGTACTACGATAACCACATTAACTTCTCAATAGAGTCTGCAGCTGAGGTAAGAATAATTTCATTTTGCTGATACCTTATTATTTAAACAGTCTGTTAGAGAGGATAGCTAGACAATACTGTGGGGTAATTTCTAATCGAGCATTAACTCTAAACATATTGTGGTTGGCAGATATAAGAATAAGCAAACTATGAAGCTAATAAAGAAGGAAATAGTGTACTTAGTGAACTGAAACTAACATGGATATAATTAAAGCTACAAGGCAAATATATAATTAAGTAACAGGTTTGTTCATGTGATACAGGAGCAGCTTAGCTAGTGTCTCGTTAAAACAGACAGCTCAGATGGTCTGAATTCTCAGAAGTGGCTCCAGATAATGAAGCATTCCCCCCCTCTTTTCCCCTCCTTGCTTAGAGTTATTATCTTTTGGTATCATTTCCAAAGTATTTGCTTTTGAAGTTAAATCATCTCTGTAAGACAGCAATATCTCTGATGCCTTCATTAAATACCTGACAGTCATGTTTCGATCATTAGTTGAAACATACAGTACAAGTTTAAGGCACAATAGCAAAGACTAGACAATTCCTGCCATGTATCTAGTCAGCATCCTTGAAGTAAAATCATATAATTGCTGAAGCTTGAAGCAAGCCCAATGGCGTCATGATGAATTTTGTAGGCAATGCAGATACACAGTGCTGAGAATTGGTAATGACATTAAATGTCTTTATTTTGAGCTACAACTTAACAACAGAAGCAGAAGATACCACATAAAAAATAGTTTCACAGACTTTAGTGGATTGAAAAGTCTGTTGTTTTGTGCTCTCCTAAGCACATATTCACCTACCTTCTAATGTGTTCCTGCGGCCATCTGCACCAATAATAACATCAAATTCATACTCTGACAAAGGGTGATCCATGGGGAGAAATTCAGCCCTCCAACCTATCTCTAAAAACACAAGGAATAATACTTATTCATTCTTCAGTAATACAAAGGAGAAGCGATTTCAGAGTCTGAAGAAAGGGCATTAGGATAAATTATCCGTTTCTCATTCAAACAGAGCTGAATTCTGCCCTGGTCTGATGGAGGGAAGCTCTGTTGCAGTCAAAGCTATGCTCAGGCTGTGTTAGCAAGGCGTCAAGCTCGTAAACTGACAATAAGAAAAAAAAGAACAGAAGGCTTCATTTGAATCGCCTAATGCACTAAACTTCTTCTCAGACCCATATCACAATGAAGGACTGGGTATTAAAAGAAGAAATATAGCATTCCATCATCAATACTTTTTATTATCTTCTAAATAGAAATTAAATGTGAGCATGCTCACAAACCAAAATTTAACCTTTATGTTAACACAAAGCTGATTATGCAAAAATGTTTGCATTGTCCATATTTAAAAATTATATATGATTTAACTACCTTAGACATTTATATATTTTATAGAAATAAATATAAAATATCTATTTCTATATTTTATTTATATAAAACATATTTATTCTACTGTCACTATAAGATCCTTTAAAAAGAGACAGCATAGTATTTTTAATGAAAGCAAAATTTTAAAATACTCTATTGCAACTACACCCTACATACTAATCTTATTAAAAAAATGGAAAAAAGAATGAGAGATCATTCTCTATTTTGTTTAAAAACCTTGCATAACATGCCTGATAAAGACTCTGTGCACCAGTGGGAGTTACATCAAATGTGAAAGCAAAATGAGGCCCAGGGAGCTTAATCCATCCTCAATATTTATATTATCAATCAAAAATTGTTTTTGCAAGAAGATACCAAAAAGCCACACCAGACTCCCTACAAAGCCTCAAATGCATGCCAGAAGGCATAGTGCAAAACCTCATCTTCTCCGACTGGGCTGTATTTTAAGAATTATCAGTGCTCTGCCACAATGATACAAATCATGATCACAACCGTGTACAGCAAACCTTGCTGAATAAGAAGGGCAAAAACTTCCCATTTCTTTAGACAGAATTCACCTTGAACGATCACACATAATGCCTGCCAAAAAGAAGGTACTGTGAACAAAACTACATTATGACAAATAATACTTTGGTTTTCTTGATCTTCAGGAGGTTCCAGGACTTTCACAAATTCTAGATTCACATGGATTTCAACTCCTAGTATAAGTGCAACTTTGAAGAGGATAAGTTGAAGCTGTCGAATACCTGTAGACAGTGAGTAATGAAGAAGTATTTAATACGTAAGTAATTACAGCTGCTATAAGCATGCAACCCAACTGATATTGTTAACACAAGCATGCAGCGTTATTATTTCCCATACTGTGCTGAATGCAAATGTAGCAACCGCCACAGCCTGTTCCTCTCTTCTGTCTCATTTTCCTCTGGCAGCAAAATTTGTAGGTAATAAGACTCACTTCAGTGAGTTTCTAGCAATACTTATATAGAACTTTCCTTTTTAATGACATTTAAAGGATCTGCTAACCAGTATGTTGACCATTTTAGGACAGAATATTATACAGCATATTTACCTGTAAAATACCTCACTTTCACATATTTTTTCATTAGATTAAGGGTTGTGTCTATCTTCAACATACTAGAATGAATGTCAATAGTCTTCATACTTCGCAGTTAAAAAAAATAGTTTAACAAATCCAGACTAATAAAAAATCTACTCTGTAAGACCGTCAAATGTTCAACTGCCATTTTGTTTAAATGAGACCATTCCTTTTCCTCTCCGTGTGTGTGTGCAAGCATGCACTTGAGCATGTTTAAGGCAGACGAACTTTCTGCCAAATCAAGAAGTCTCTGGTAATCATCTGATTTCAGTACACCTGTTATCTGAACTGTGCCCATGCCCTTGGATACTTACTGATGTGATCAATTGATCCTGCACAGAATTTTCCATAGAATTTCTTTGCTCCCAGTCCTCGGAGGTCATGGATTGTAAATGGCCAGAGATGCAACACATTATTTCTTGAAAAGGTGTCCCGCTTCTCCACAACGACAACTTTGGCTCCCAGAAAGGCAAGTTCTATGGCAGTCCGCAAGCCACATGGGCCACCTCCAATAATTAAACACTAGCACAGAAAAGAAGCAGTCTTACACAGGGTTTTGCATTGACTTCCACACACTCCTCTGTTACAAATTGATATTCAACCAGATATACGCTACTGAGAATGGATGCAAGTCATCTATTTAAACCAATAAACATTCAAATTCTGCTCGTGTGGCATTCAGTCAATTTATACAAGAGGATAAGCTGTGCTTCATGCAGATGTAGAAACATCTGATAAAACGATATAACAAGAAACAGAAAAAAGCTAAACAGTTTTGAGCACCTGCTTGTACATTTCTAACTCACATTTAGTGTTTCAAAACTGCTTGCAGTAAACAGGATTACAGATACATAAAAAAGAGAGGAAAGGAAATAAGTGGTCTTGTTTTGAAGAGGAAATAGGTGGACATTTGTTAGACTTGTTAAACAAATCTATGATAAGCCAGTAATCTTACGGTACTAGTTACTCTTTCAAGTGATGATGTATCCTGAATATGACAACCTATTTCACCTACTGTCATAAAGTAGTGCATGTTAAGAACAGTCAGCAGACTTGTACTCCCTACCAGAGCCAAGGAACTTGACCTGCCCTATTCCATTTCACCCACTGGTCAACATCCTCACTGTCAGCACAATCACATTTTAGGAGCTTAAGTCTAAATTTGGGCATCCTCAGAAGAACTGCTTCAGAAATCACTACAGAGAATTCTTGCCCAAATTTTAGTTGACAGCTGTAAGTTTTCACAGCCTAACAAGCAAAGGATTTCCAGAAAGCAAACTAATTAAAACTTAACATATTTAATGCTTATGTTTTCCTGACTGATTACTAAAAACTGATTAGAAAGTCTCATCACTGCTGTTCCACATCTCCCCCAAAATTCACCCTACCTCCCCGAAAACACCCAAAAACACTCATGGACTTCACAAACTCTATGCCACCAGTTCAAGCACCAGGTTCGGACAGGGAGAGACAAGGTGAGCCTTAATGGAGGAGGAGAGAGGCTGAGCTGTGCTGCATTGCACCCCAAACCCATTATCTCACACACCAGACATGCTCCTGTGCATCCTGCACACATAGCCAGACAGTGATTGAAGCTTCAAAGCAAGCACGGACTGTATTTGGAGGCTTGTTGGATACAAGTCTGGTTCCCATTACATTTCAATTTCATAAAATAGAGTCATTTATTTATTTTGGTTCGTTCAACATTTGTTTTCAAATTTAATAACTTAAGCAAAAATTACCCAGTGCTGACTTTTGTCCATGACTTTTGTCCAACCCAATCATAGAAGTGCCAGGGATTTTTTTCATTTAATAATTAATCTGAGTAAATTCCCACTGAAAGAAGAGTTCCTGTGAGGTGCTTTTGCTTTGCTTAAGGCAAGTGTTCTTTTAACTAGAGACATTAAATAAGTTAAAGATAGGTTGTTGTATTAGCCATTTGGCTTTCTTCCTCTTAAAAGAACACATTTAATTCATAATTTCAGAAGAACACTCCTCACTCCATTTTAAGTATTAAAAATTAGCAACAGATGTAATTATATAAAGGAAGAAAATAGAGTGCAGATGTTACCCCAGCTGAAGAGGATCTCTGGTGGGTCAGCTCTTCACTGCACATGCATGTTGTGATTAACATGGGAACTGCGAATTCTAACAAGTAAGTGACTGCCTTCACAGGTACAGAGTTTTCCAGTAATGTTTAGCAAGCAGTTAGAAAGATTTTACAATAATGACCATACATGGTTTGACAATGTGGGGCTGGGTTTTGGCTAACAAACTGTATTATATACACACAACTTTTTCTTTAAAAAAGCGGCCTTTGAGATTTAGCCATAGTGGATCCTGCCAAGGAATAAAACCCACGCAGAAAACACTGTTAGTTCCTCCAGGGGCTCTGCAACACAGTATGTTACAATTCTGAGGAGGATTCTGTCCCCTCCCCTCCTCCTGTGACCATTGGCAAAATGTATTTGTAACTGCCTAGAGACACCATGAAAAACGGTAGTATATTTGTCATCATCCATGGTTACCTTCCATAAACACATTTATCTGTGTCTCAGCACTATTTGTTCTTTGATTTATTAAGGACACTTCCTGCTGGTGTAGAGCTTACTCTTGGCACTTTGTCTTTTTTTTTTTTTTCTTTTTAAACTTCTGGGGTCAAAACCAACATAAAACCCTTGCAAAGGTAATTCTTACTGTGTTTGTGTTCCTACCTTTATCAAGTAAGGAAAGAGAGCATACCACTAGCCTGTCCATTCCCTCCCTCCCAAACTCTCTGCTAGCAAAGTCACAGGAGAAACCTTGTTGTAGTCAGCCTAGAACAAGCCTTGAATGGCTTCCCATTTTCACCTCCTGTTACCTCAGTCTCCTGGCTCATCAGGGCCTGCTTTTGAAATTAACATCTTGCAATTTAACACCAATTATGAAAACTGACATCATGCAAGGAAGTCTCAAGCAATCAATCCTGAAATGTAACAAACATGGATGGACAAATGCCAAGGGTTTCTTGACATCCACATCACCATTCACAGCTCAACTGTCTTTCAATTGTGCCAGACCGCCTCCTAAAAAGGTAACGGGTAACTCAAAAGCATCTTCTGCAACTTATTCAAAGTAACAGTTTCTCAAGGGGACTGACAAGGAGCTTTTGCATATTTACTTTTCAGGCTGCAAATGAAGGGAGAAAGACTTGTACAGAATACAGGGCAGCTTGTTCAAGAATAAGATCATGACTAGACTTCCATAACATACCTGAAGATTCTGTATCATGTTGAGTTTATATCCTGTTTTACTGCATATATACACCACGTTAGTCCAAGATAGCAATACTGAGAGAAGGCATATTTCTCAGCGAAAACCTCATACTATAAAGGGTGAGGCTGCCTGCAAACATACATAAACACTTCCTGTTAAATCAGAAGCTTCATTAAATTTAATACACTCCCCAAGAACAGCATGGGCACACCTGCCTGTGCTCCATCACCTCATCAGCAACAGGACCATGTAAGGTTATGTACATCAAATTTCCTGCTCCAAACTCCAGCTACGCTGTAACTGGCAGTACTGAAGAGACTGCCCATAAACACCAACTCCTACAAGCAACAGTCACCACGAGTACTTTTCATCAGGATTTTATGTGAGCTAAGTTCATCTACTCTTCTTGCAAATATCCTGGATATGAATGATACCAATTACTGCTTGCAATAAATGCAACAAGGAAAATTTTACACTTACGATATAAATTATCATAAATAAATGGACATGCTGGTTTGAGTTAGACTTCTGCAAAGGCATTTTTTGAATACCAGCTACAAAATCCCCATTGAAGAGGATTAAGGCAAGTTTACAGGCCAGTAACAGTTGCCTAGTGACAAACTTAGGACAATTCCAGCTTACAATTATAAACATTAGGTAAAGCATGGAAATTTTTGTACTTCAAAATAAAACACTAATAAGGCTATGCATATTTTACAAAAGTTGTCACTTAAGCCACTGAGTAAATAATATGGTTTTATGGTACTGTTAAAAAACACCATACTTTTCCCTAAAAGATAATTACTTGTTTCTGTATAAATCTTGTCTCACTTAAGCACACTTCTTGTTGCATTATTTATCTTCAGACTGAAATAGAGCAGAAACTTTGTGTATTTTTTCCCCAAGTGCAATTAAAAGATATCAGAAAGTGTTCACTTGTAATAATATAAACATACACAGCATTTGGTAAGTCTCATAAGCTTGATTCTACTCAAAGGTTGATCTGACTCTATGAGATCCTACTTTCTCTCTACTGGTATGTTTAAGAATGGCAGTGCCTTGAAAATCTCCAGGAAATGTTTCTACACTGAATAAGAGCACTTAGTGCTGAGATAAATGGCAGCACAAGTTACCTCCCCAAAAGCAGAATGACTTCTGTGCCAGGCACAGGTTTTTGGTACGATCTCCTCTATACAATGTACAAACATGAGACTTAAAAATAGAAGGACAGGAAAGAAGAGAGGGATGGGAAGTAGGGGCCTCTTGCAACCCCTCCTGTCCCCCACTATTAAATCGGCAGCTTGTGAATCCAGACCCCTATATCCCATTCTGGAAAAAAAACATATGCAGTTTAACAGCTGAGAATTTGTAGAACTCTTCCATTGGTTGTCACACACTGAAGTAAATCTTTATATAGAATACAGAAACAATTGAGGCTTTGAGAGAAAGGGGAGAGAGCAGATGAATACTAACACTACTCTTAAAAAAAAAAAAAACCACCCCACTCCACAATGACCTAGTCACAGAAATCTCTCATCCACTTTAATAACTGACAGAATCTACTCATTGACCTTGAAAAATGTAAAAAAAAAAAAATAATATATATATATAAATTTGTTAGTCCTCCACATTTACATGCTCACAGTTGAGGAATGCACCAGTTGGTAGTAGCAGGTGGGTGGGGGATGCAACCAAACTGCATCTCTTTGCACGGTTAAGAATAGACAAATCCCATTGTAGCTCAATGCATCACATTGTTATTACCCAGCTTTAAATCCCTCACTCCTCTCCTGCTCAAGGTACCTCACCATTAAATTAGTCCTGGAAAATCAAAGTATGTTCAATGATGACCCACTTCCTGTATGTTCTGGGATGAAGAGCTACAACCACTCCAGGAGTTCAAGACTTTCTCATTTCTGCCTTTCAGTTGCTTTAGAGGTGAAAAAGAGGAGATTAATTTTAGACTCCAGCTCAACAGCACCTGGATAGATGCAGAGACACCCTTTATTGTCCTAAGGCATGCCTAGCCAGAAGCACCATTTCTACTCTTCAGTGGAAATACACACATGTACACTAGTGAAAAAAATACTGAAAACCATCTACCCAAATTATTTAACTTCTTTCAGCTTATATGTAATATTTGCCCAAAGTACTAACTGGAAATCAAAACCTATAGGAATGGATCATGCTGCTAGAAATGAACACCAACTCCCCACATGCCTCAAGGCCCCTGCCTGGTGCTGCAGGTTTCCCCAGTTACAGGAGGC